GAGGGACTTGAAAACATTAATAACGAAAAACTGAATTAAAGCTAATTTATATTTAAAATATAATAATAACTAAGACTTTGTTTTCATTGAATATATAAGTAAGTACACGTGTATCCCATACAGAAATGTGCGATATAGTTTTTTTCTTCTTTTTTGTGATTTTCTGTTAATTGGTTATAATAGACTAATTTATTTTGATTTTTATGTATTATGTCTAGATAAAGTACATTAATTATGTTTATATTAGGTTTGCCTATCTGGAAATAAAGCTATTCTTCTTCTTCTTCGAAAGAGCTGTTGATGCCCTCATGTGTGGAATATAACATCGTTCAAATGTCCGCCGCGTGAAGCGCATACGAATAGTCCAATTTTACATGACTGTGGCGCATAAATCAGGCTGAATTTGACCGATGGCATGAGCTACGTTGGCGGTTTGAGGACCGCTGTGGTTTGTGGCTTATTAGCATACACCTGTGACTTAGGAAAACCCCCACAAGAAAAAGTCTGACGGAGTCAAATCGCATGATCTCCGAGGCCAGTTCAGATCACCTCCAGGTGAGATGACCATTCCCACAACTCGCTCGTGCAGAATAACCAACGTGACATGAGCTGGGTGGCACGTAGCGCCGTACTGTTGTAACCACATGTTGTTGGTGGCCAGATCATCCCATTCTGGCCAAAAGATGTTGATAATCATCTACCTATAGTGCTCGCCGTTTTCAGTGATGGCCTGGTCAAATATGGACCGATTACGCCGCCAGCCCAAAATCAACAACAAACAGTGACTTTTTCGAGATGCATTGGACGCTCTTGGATCTCATGTGCCAAAGTAGTGATTCACATTCGATTTGAATCGCTGGAGGTTAAATCCATTTGGAAAAATGTTCTCAGGAAGTTTATTCCACATAAACGCAGTTCTCCAGATGACAGAGTTCTTAAACAGTGAAGTTCGAGGTGTACTGAGTTGAACCTCAAAACGACGAACAGCCACAGTCCGTCGTGTATTTCTGATATGTACAGCTCTTGGTGGAATCAAATTTGCCAAGTCACTTGAACACTTCCCGTGAAAGTATCTATAGAAAAGAGACAAATAAGGATTTAAAAATGTATATNAAGTGAGATTCCACCAAAGAAAAATAAACAGTCTTAGCTGCTGTTTAACCAAGTTCATTTGCGACTACTCTGACTGCATAACATCCAGAGGACATTTTCTTACACAAGGCATAAATATGTTCTTCAAATTTTAGTTTACCATCGATATGTTCTCCTGAAAATTTTAGGCTACTTTGGTTCCCAATAATGTTACTCCCAATGGGTATATTGCCCAGTTCGCATCTGAAAGTTACTATATTAGTTTTCGAAATATTTAGAGAAAAATGATTTGAATCACACCAATTTTTCACTGTCATCATATCGTTGGATATGATTTTAGTTTAGTATGTTGCCGCCAGCAAATTTCATTGGGAACATTGATGGTGAAAGTATTTGAGAGATATCCATCGACGTTCACTTGCAACGAACGTCCTTTCAGGAAACTTGAGATCCATACACGGAAATGATCCGTGAAGCCATAGCATCGAAGTTTGGCCAGCAAACCCTCATACCACACAGTGTCGAAGGCCTCAGAAATATCAAGCGCAACAGCTCTTGATTGTTCATGTTTCTCGATTGCGTCATTCCAAATAATGGTGACATACGATAGAAGGTCGCCTGTTGATCTTTGCCTCCGAAAGCCATATTGATGATCGCATAAGATGTTGAAGCTTTGCAAATATTCAAGGTTTACGACTTTCTTCATGATTTTTGATATGACTGATAGCAAAGCGACTGGTCTAAAATCATTTGGAAGATTTTCCTTGCTCTTTTTGGGAATAGTCTGAACGCGAGTAGTCTTCTAACAAAGAGGAAAACCCCCTTTCTTTCAAGACAGGTTGAAAAGTCTGCATAATACTGGTATGCGTTCATTTGCGCACTTTTTAAGTGCGATGACGGGCACTTGAGCAGGGCCAGATGTCTTGTTGATATCGAGCTGTTTCAAAATTCGCCTGTGGAGTGGGACGCAAATTGCTAGTAGATTTGCTTTTTCTATGGATGTTGTTGCAATTGAACCATCCACTTGTGTTAGTGGTGGAATTGTGGATTTTGTAAAGTTCTGATTAACAGCTTTAGCTACCGACCAGAAGGATCTAGACCCGTTGGGATTGGCAAGCAGTTTATCTCCAATTTCTTGATTGTAAAGTTCTATGTTTTCATTTATCCTGAGTTTACAGCTGTTGCGAGCATTAACAAACCTAGTTCGGTTTTTGGCATTGAAATTTTTGCGCCACTTCCGGTAGGCGAGATTTTTGGAGGCGACAGTTTGCTAACAATTTTTGTTGAACCAAGGTTTGCCGTTAGAAGGTCGTTTCATTGAGCCATTCGATATTGTAGACATTGAAATCACCGAATATGGAAATTTCGGCACTGGAATGATTGATTTGCAGAAAGTCAATGTTGTTTGCAAATGAAGAGAATAGTTCCCTATATTGTGTATTGCTAGGTGATCGATAAACGCAGCATATGAATTTGGAGATCTTCTGTGATTTTATTTTGAAACACATTACATCAAAGTTTTGGGGTTCCAGCATTTCCTCTCGTTGACAGGAGAGATCGCTTCTGATAAAAAGAGATAATCTAAAGTTACGTATGAATCGGGAGTGGAAATTATAGCCGGGATATAAAAAATTGACGGGGTTTCTTGAAGCACTGACTTCGGTTTCTATGAATGCAAGAATATGAGGACTATGAGATTGGTGCACTGAGTTAATATTTGAGATGAGTCCTCTGATGTCGCAGAAATCGATTTCAAAGTTGCTAGTGGGCCTCTCAGCAACTGCAGTTAGGAGGAAGACCCTACTGACTGTCAGAAATATTCATGATCTTCATTTCTTCTTGAAAAACCTTCTCTGATGAAGGAATCATAAATGATCCATGTATCATTGATCTGAATGCCGATAATTTATGTGATAATGGACTGAAAAATCCATGGGGATGGTACAGTCCGCGAAAGTGTTTTTCCTATATATGTTGAACTGATATTTGAGTTGAGGAAATTCAGGAATTGATTTAACTGTCTCACCGAGCCGCCAATAATAATAGATTATTAATGATAGTAAAAACTCTAATTTCCAAATAATCAATGACCAAGTAGAACTATGCAGCTCTCCTCTTTTGAATTTTGTGAATTATGACAACAAGTTCAGGATCTATTGTTATTCGGAGCAACCCACAAGTAGTTTTTTGATATTGTTGT